CATGTAATTAGAACGAACAATAAACACATACATCTTCAAAGATACCAACCACACCAGCTACACAAGTACAACATAACTCGCTGCCTTTAGTACATGTGCGATTGATTGTTACATTAGTCCTCACCGCTATAAGTACCAAACACATCAACCACATTATCCATACCACCACACCAACCACACCAACTACATCTACCATACCAGGTACGCCAGCCACAACAGCCACACCATCCACACCAACCACACCAACCACATTAACCACACCATCCACACCAACCACACCAACCACAGCATCCACTCTAACCACACCAGCTACATCTACCACACAAACCACAACAGCGATATCAACCTTAACAGCTACACCATCCACATAAACCACCCTAGCTACATCTACCACCCTACCACACCAGCCACACCATCCACACCAACCACACCATCTACAACCACAACAACCACCCAAACCACACCATCTACACCATCTACACCATCTACACCAACCACACCAACCACACCAACTACATTTACCACCCTACCATACCAGCTACATCTACCACACAAACCACCCCAACCACACCAACTACACCAACCACACTATCCACACCAACCACACCAACCACATCTACCACCCTACTTCACCAACCACACCCTACCCACGTACCTCCAATGCACGCGCCGTTGTTACACTTGTACTCATCAGCTCCACACGTGACCTGCTTCTTGTTAAAAGGTTTGGGCAGGTATTTGTTGGCCAAGACGCCACTTAGGCCAACCAACAATAGGGCCACACAAACGTTTTTCATGATGAAATCTGGCCAGAGAAATCAACTCACAATCAACATTTTATTCTCATTTCAAAACAAATTATGCCCGTCTATGTTTAGACTAAGAAACGCCCATGGTTTGTTCACATTAGTCTATGTGTATATGTGTGTATAGTCTATGTGTATATGTGTGTATAGTCTATGTGTATATGTGTGTATAGTCTATGTGTATATGTGTGTATAGTCTATGTGTATATGTGTGTGTAGTCTATGTGTATATGTTTGTATAATCTATGTGATTTTATATTCAGCCCTGTAACTGTGTTTATCTCTGTTTATACATATATCGTTGTACTGGTCAATGTCTTTCATTTTTGTTATTAAAAACTTATTACTGTAAGGCTATGTTAGTTATGTTAGTCAATGTTTATTACTATAAGGCTTTGTTAATTATGTTAATTAATGCTACACATAATGCTTACATAAACAACATGTATATGAGTACAGAACTATACGTCCCTTACATAAACAACATGTATGCGAGTACAGAACTATACGTCCCTTACATAAACAACATGTATGTGAGTACATAACTACACGTCCCTTACATAAACATGTATGTGAGTACAGAACTATACGTCCCTTACATAAACAACATGTATGTGAGTACATAACTACACGTCCCTTACATAAACAACATGTATGTGAGTACAGAACTATACGTCCCTTACATAAACAACATGTATGTGAGTACAGAACAATATGTCCTTTACATAAACAACATGTATGCGAGTACAGAACTATACGTCCCTTACATAAACAACATGTATGTGAGTACAGAACTATACGTCCCTTACATAAACAACATGTATGTGAGTACAGAACTATACGTCCCTTACATAAACAACATGTATGTGAGTACAGAACTATACGTCCCTTACATAAACAACATGTATGTGAGTACAGAACTATACGTCCCTTACATAAACAAGATGTATGTGAGTACAGAACTACACGTCCCTTACATAAACATGTATGCGAGTACAGAACTATACGTCCCTTACATAAACAACATGTATGCGAGTACAGAACTATACGTCCCTTACATAAACAACATGTATGTGAGTACAGAACTATACGTCCCTTACATAAACAACATGTATGCGAGTACAGAACTATACGTCCCTTACATAAACAACATGTATGTGATTACAGAACTATACGTCCCTTACATAAACAACATGTATGTGAGTACAGAACTATACGTCCCTTACATAAACAACATGTATGTGAGTACAGAACTATACGTCCCTTACCTGGACTGGAAATTACAGAATAAATGAAGCACTGACGTCGCTGACCACGTCACTTTATCGGGGCATGCGTGCACAGCAGCTAATTTTTTTTAACTGCTGTGGGATTTTTTACTGCTGTTCTACTATCTACCAAATTAAAAAGTTTTATCTAAATTTTAAAATTAAAACAGACGTAAAGGTATTGAAAGTACAGAAAAATATATTTAACCTAAGATTGACATTCCTGCTATTTAGTATAAGCTTTGGTAATTAAGAAGCGTTAATGAAAATACAGTATTTATAGATTTAGAAGAACAAGAAAATATAAAAAAAAGCCCAGTATTTTACTAAAAGTATGATTAAAATTTAAATTAGCTGTAAGGAATTTAATTGTTAACCTGTTACATCATTAGGCAAGAGCCTTTAGGCAACTTATCATTAATTAGTTTCTCCGACTGTCCACTAATAGGAACCCATCTTTTAAGCGTCTCCAGGTGTTTCTTTCCCTCTTTTTTCCCTTTTGTGCTGTGGATTCCAGGTAATGAAGTTGAGAGAGGGGGTAGGATGCTGGTGGAATTTGTGTAGGTTCGCAGAGACCTTTCTTGAACCAAGAAGTTGTTGACCTCATGTGCAACAGTCAACTTGATCTTAAAGCCCAGTAGGTACACTGTAACATCAGGTGTCATAACAATATGGCTGATGAAACAGAAAGTTAACATACATCCCAGAGCACCTGACATACTAAGTCACCATACGTCACATGGCAACTAACAAAACAAGTCACTATTTACAACATGGAACCAAACATAACAAGTCAACATACGTCATATAGTCATATGGCAACTAACATAACATACGTCATATTATGGTGCCTGACAGTCACTCGGTAAAATAATTATCGCAGCTCACATTTCTTATCTCTCATAGGGTCAGATAAAACTATCTGCAGAACAAACAAGACAGATAAAACTATCTGCGGAACAGTTCTGCCTCATTGTGTGGTTTTTCTTTAAATATATAAAGCAAACAGATTATTTGTCGCAAGACTTAAGTGCAAAGACAAAATGTGGTGCAACACATTTTTTATGTCGAAAATTAATGGTATAACATAATTAATGTTAGTAGATGTATTCAGTGCGAAACCATTATGTGTAGTAAAATACCTGTATGTAAAACTTGTTTAATTGTATATTTGGTTGATGTGTTATGCAGAAATCACCAAGGGAGCCGAGAGTCCATTCACCTTTTTTAGTGACACCTGTTTAGGTGGCAGATACACAGGTAGTTTGGTACCAGCAGGTGAGAAGGTGTCGCTTAAGGTGAACACACAAGTAAAAACACCATTTAAAAACACCGCATCAAATTTTTTAAACATATGTTGTCGCCTTTGATAAAATTAAACTTCTTGTATGGAGATTACTACTTCACATAACGTGTTTGATACATTTGTTTGTTATCATAAGTGTTGTGTTATCTCTAGAACTGCTGACACAACAATCAAAATCACGAAACCAAAGGCAGGCAACTGTTGAACGTTTGGCCGACTCTCTAGAGTTACGCAGCTGTTGAAATCTATACATTTAATCACACACGGTCGAAAACTTTCTGTCGGGTTTTTTTTTTTTTTTTGGTAATTTTTTTGTAATTTTTTAAATTTATTTTTATTTTTTAAATCAAGGATAAAATGTGAATTAAACATAGTGAGCCGAATGAGTCATCCTTTCTTACATACTAGGAACTAGCAACTTACCGGAATATAGAAAGATTATTTAAAATACATATATTTGTAATTATTCGTTTTTAGTCCAAAAAAATTTGGTCAGTGCTATTTTTTTAGTATTTTTTTAAATAGGACATTAATATTTCTAGCAATCGACTATATTACACAAAGCTGTAATATTTTCTTTATCATTTCTTTTTAATACAAAAAAAATCTAATTTCGTTTCATCTTTGTTGAAATGTCTCTGACACTTGTTTAGTCAATGGATTTATTTCACGCAACATTGTAACAGTGATGCTGTTTTGTTTACATCTGTATGTTGTACCAGCTGTCGACTAACGTTAGTTGCACGTCTCCGTGCACAGCTACAGGCGACTGCTTTGGTTCTGGTTAAACTGCTAACCCACCCCTACCTCACCCTTACACACCCCCATCTTTCCCATACCACACACCTACCAACCTCCACCTCACCCCTACCCTACCCACCCCTACCCCAACCCTACCACACCCTACACTACCCCACCCAAACCTCACCCCTAGCTGACACCAACCTCACTCTACCCCACCCCTACCTCACCCCTACTTTATATATAAACAACTTTATATATAAACAACTTTATATATAAACAACATTACATATAAACAACTTTATATATAAACAACTATATATATAAACAACTTTATATATAAACAACTTCATATATAAACAACTTTATATATAAACAACTTTATATATAAAATACTCGAACTGAAGCGATCGAAATGTATTCCCATTGTGAGTAGCCTCTGGAAGATTTTTACAATTCGCGATCGAATTTTGACACTAATGTTATTTACCTAAACAATATTTTACACGAGGGATATCGAGGTCGAAGAGTACAGCTAACCAAAATAACTCGAGTTTATATCTTAGGCGGGAAGCTGTGGGTGCCTCTGATCCGTTAACTTTATTTCATCTTTCCCTTGGACCTCCTATTTCAAAAGTGTTGCTTCATACCTTTTATTTATCCGAACAGTTTTTACACAGACGTTAATTATGCAGTCGTAAAAATTCGGAAAAAAATACATAATTTAATATTAGTTACTCATATTTTGAACCATAAATTAACCAATGTAGTTTTCAATCAAATGTTACTTGGAAATAACTTTAGCTTAGTTAGTGTCTGGTGGAGTCAAGTAAAATTGGAGACATCTAATGGAACATGACAAAATTTTATTGAACTGAAAGCGTACTTTTAAACCATGCACACTGAGCTGAATCCAAGAAAGTTTTCAGTAGCAATATTAAATAAGTGTTACTTTAAAGCGTTGACAATACAAAGGCATGGACGAAAACTAAAAAAAAAAACAGAATGGTAGGTGTATAGCCAGACGGGATTCAACACCATCACTCAAAACGATCATTGAAAAGTTAATTTTTTATTCGTGTAGATTTAAAAAATTAAATTCCTTTGGGTCTTTTATTTAAAAAAAATTTAAATGCATCTTTGATGTTTCAGCGATTGCAAGTTAACATCTCATCTCATGACATTACACTGTCGCAACATCGCGCCAGTACGTGTATTAACCGACTGTACAAATGTAAACAATGAACTGCTAGAATTACGCTCATTTATACTGGATGCTTGGGAACCGCTAAATTGTCTGTCAAAAGTACCTTTATTTTAGTATCATTTTTCTTTATTATGAGTGTGATGAATATGGCTGTAAAATATACAGATTGAAATAACTACGTGTTTAATTTTAAGAAGTACTGATTGGTTTAAGAAAATATTTTCAATGAACAAATGTAATTAAAAATCAAGGAAAGACTATAATATAATATTGATTTGAATCAAACGCAATTAGATAATAAGTTTAAGCACTTGGATGGAGAAAATTAAACGAGGCGGATCTTCATCTCTACAAACGTTGGGGTGGACGAGTAAAACAGATCTCCCCATTTAAAGGAGGAGGAGTCACCCCACTCCCCATTTAGGTTGGTGGGGTAGTCTTGACACCGCCATAGCCACCACCCACCATACAGGTCAAGGCAGTGGTAGTCGTAGCTCAGGTCACTGCTCACATTGTCGGCAGTGGAAAACACGACGCTGCCGTATTTATCGTCGTAGAAACCGTCCGGTTTGGGTGTTGTGTAAGGCGCGGTGATCCAGTTGTTGTATTGGTCATCCGTGAAAATGTCCTGGACGTCACCTTTGAAGCCAGTAAGGTGCAGAGCATAGTGAGATCTTTCGTCACCTAGTTGAAACCTGCTGTAGTAGGCGTAGTGGGTTCTATGGTCGCCATTCATGTCTATACGTAGCTCATAGATTCTCTATTGAACATATATTTAATGTATTGATATGTATTAAATATATAGTGATATATTGTGATTTAATTGATATTTTACCTGGGTAAAATGATGAAGGTGGGGGGGGGGCGTTGTGAAGAGTGGGTAAACGACTAATTGGCTGAAATTCTCGATTTCGGATCCTGAGCTCTAGTAAACAGGATGTCACTGAGTCCACCCAGCTCCGATGAGTACCTGTCTCACGTTAAGGGAAGTAAAGGCTGCTAGAAGAACTGACCTCACTATCCCTTTGTATGTGGAGGTCACAAAAACAGATCAACTCTACTTCATCTGTCCAACGTATAACTGGAGAAACCGGTTATAACAAAAGAATGGTAAACACGTTATGAGTTAGTGTATCTGGGTATATAAAAACCAAGGGTTTCATCTGATTTCAATAACATACATTTTAGCATAGTTTCCAACTTACACTGGTCGTCAGTTGGTGAACCTTCTCATTCCCTAGCCACAGGTCACCATCAACCGACCCAAACCCATCTCTGTACTCATCCCAAGTTCTACTGAAGTTGGTGTCTCCTTTCGTTCGTCGCTGAAATATTAAAGGATTTCCAAATTATTCCAGACCCTTAAAGAGCTAATTATCCCAATATTAATTTTATGTCTTTTATATTAATGTTTTAAACTTATTCGAAATGTTTTCACGTTGGTTGTAGACAGAATTAGCAGATAGACAGTTGGGATAGGTGTAAGACAAAAGTTTTCGGGTTTTTTTTTTATTTATTTATTGTCTGCTTTTGGTGGAGTAACTACGTCTTCTCTTAATTATTTTGTCCTATGTGGACATTTGTTGCATTCCTGCATTTGTTGCGTTCGGGCATTTGTTGCGTTTGGGCACACAACCATTTGTTAAAACGTCTATACGTAAAAACGTCCGTTCAGGGAAAGATCCTTTCGAAACTCGAGCAAGTGTTTTCGGGCATTTGACGTAATCTGTAAAGTAAACTAGCAAATGTCCTGATAATTCGAAAAGTGATTAACTTAAAAACAAATGTTTTATGTAGTAATCTGTTACCTGTGTAAAAATCAGCTCAGGTATACGTGGTAATCAGTTACCTGTATAACATTCAGCTCATGTATAAGTACTAATCAGTTACCTGTATAACGATCCAGCCCCCACCATCTGTCTGTGTGTCACACAGAGCGTACTTTTGGTCATCTAGTTTAAAGACAACACGTGACTCCCGTGCCAGCATACCACGGACACACGAGTCAGGCTGGGGAAATAAAAATTTGGCCGTCCTTAAATACTTTAAAAGTAGACATCTGTCCATCAACCCGCATCTAAACTTACGGCATGGAATACTCACTGAAATATCTTATTGAAAATACAATATCCAAAATAAGCTGATGCCACAAAGATAGGTTACTAAAAACAAATACTCGAAGTTCATATTATCTAATAGTTACCAGTAAAAACGACTTGACGAACTGAAAGCCAGAAGAGGTCGTGAGTGTGATGTTGTCCAGCCTCGACTCCAACAACCAACTGCTGTGGTTGTAGTTCTGGGTAAAGTCCTGAAATCTCTGTGACATCTGACTAATGCCACTGACGACACTGACATTGACATCTTGTTTTAATGTCATTACATCCTGACTTATCAAACTCAAACTGGTTTGCAAAAGTGAAGAATTCGCCGTCAGAACATCGCGCAGTCCCTTGACCTCATTCAACACACTTTCTCCTGCCGTCTCTATCTGCAAGCTCAGGTTCCTCAGAGCCGCGGAGTCCACGACAGAGCCGAGATTTGAACTCGTACCTTCGTGAAAGTTGGCTCCAAGTAACGTTAGATCCCCTTTGATTATCTCCGCCATGTTTTGTACCTCCGCTACTGAAGAGTTCACGTTGTTTAATTTGAGGCTCAAGTCGTTGATAAGTCGTCGTAATGTGGTCTCCATTTTGGCCATCTGATTCGATATCTCCACCGAGATGGCTCTCAGAAGTTCAGAGTTTGTGAAATTTCTGTCCAAATTTTCTGCCAGCACCACCGCCTTAAGCGCGTCGGGCAAACCGGAAATGTTGACAAAGTCCAGTTCACAGGAGAAACTGCCCTGCAAGCAGTCTGATTGGTTGGTGAAGTCGACCGTGATGTCTGCGTGGTACCGCGAGATGGACCCGTGCACCTCAATATCCGGACGCGTTTTTTCGGGACTTCCTGCATGGAAGGTCGTGATGGTAGCCAAGGTCGTGGGCTTGTCTGGCACCGTGACGTCAGAGATGAGCATGCTGATGATGGTGAGTATGTCTTTGTTCGCGGCAGTGTCGGCCGAGCAGCGCAGCTGACCACAGAACACCTGCTCCCCGTTTGGACTTGGCTGAGGTGTCCTGTCCATCGCCAACTCCAAGCCTGAAATTTCGAGAAAAATCACAAACGTTCTTTTCTATCATTTGAATTATATAAAACAACGTTGGCAAAGTAATCTAAACATTAAAAGAGCTCATTTAACACTTGGGGGGGGGGGGGGGGGGGGGGGGGGGGGGGGGGGGGGCAGGTGGGGGTGGGGTGGGGGGTGGGGGGGGGGGGGGGGGGGGTCGTGGAGCACTTCAGATTTGCGTGGTGTGTCTAGTGCTAAGTGTCGCATGACGCGCCTACCCCTCTACGTGTGTAGCCACAACCTTGGTCCACCTTGGTTTTGAACCCGTAGCCGTTGAAGTACATCTAAGAACCAGTGACCTTTAATGGTAGGTCATACGCTCAATGTGCCGTGTAAGTATCAATTGTTTGATTTTCGAGTTTTCTTTCATTAATGGGTTGCTGTCTACAGCTATATTTCCTCATCTGCCCCGGAATTTCGAACTCGGGACATTTCCGTTTAGCAACCATGAGGATTACTGACCGATTGAAATATTAACTTTCCGTATTTAAACTTAAACAATGGATTACACATCTATTTCATCTGTGGAATAGTGGCCATGATGGAGCTGTACATCTTAATCTATTCAGTTATGATAAGTCGGCAATAGCAAGAGACTAAGCATCATCTCAGTTAACTTTTACAGTAAAACAATAACATCCAAGAGAGCATTACTCTGATTGCTAACATGTCTTCAACATTAAAACCAAAAGTAAAAAAAAAAACAAATTGTAATGTTTAAATAAAAGCACACTTTAAACTTTTATCGTATGTCTATCAACTTACCATAGCTCCCCATTATTAACAAAAATACACACGCGAAGACTAAGTCTGAGAAACGCATTTTCAAATGTTACAAAAACAAGATTTTAAGACTTTATATACTTGTTTTGTGAAGTACTGTGGTATTAATATTTCTAAACATTCTCAAAGACGGTTTTAGGAAGTAAAACTAGAATAGCCACTTAACATGATAGAAACAAAACCATAGGGTTATATCAACTCGGACAATAGTACCCATCTTATACTTAAACAAGATATGGGATCGTTTTCTACAAGATAGTTTTAGGGTCAACAAGAATTACGAGAGTCAATGGAGGCTATAATGAGGGGCTGCACAACTGAAGGGGGAGATAGAAAACATAAGAGTTACTTAAATGTTCTTTGAGTGAAGCAACTACCGTGATACTCCAAATTTTATGTGATAAAATATACTTGGGCTGAATTAAGTTGTGAGATAAATTATTTTTAACGAGAGCCTTGACTTTGAGAGTAGCATTTCACTGCTTTATTTTCAACCACGTATATTTTTAACTTCAATCTTTTAAAACGTTGTAACCTTACGTTAACCACTAAAAATATTGCTGCGTTAGCCAAATACCTCAATGCAGGTATTATTTTATTGTTTTCATAAATGACTTCTTCTTCTTCTTCATCGATCTTAATTATAATATTATGATTGTTATCCTCTTCAGAAATGATGTACTGTGGCAACGGACAAACCAACTGGCAACGGACAAACCAACTGGCAACGGACAAACCAACTGGCAACGGACAAACCAACTGGCAACGGACAAACCAACTGGCAACGGACAAACCAACTGGCAACGGACAAACCAACTGGCAACGGACAAACCAACTGGCAACGGACAAACCAACTGGCAACGGACAAACCAACTGGCAACGGACAAACCAACTGGCAACGGACAAACCAACTGGCAACGGACAAACCAACTGGCAACGGACAAACCAACTGGCAACGGACAAACCAACTGGCAACGGACAAACCAACTGGCAACGGACAAACCAACTGGCAACGGACAAACCAACTGGCAACGGACAGAGCAACTGACAGCTGAAGTAGAGATCCTCCAGAGAAAATGGAGATGGATTGGCCACACACTTAGAAGCCTTTATCCAGCATAACAAGACAGGCCCTCACGTGTAATCCACAAGGCAGGAGGAGGAGAGGCAGACCAAGAAAGACATTGAGACGTTAAATGGAAAAAGACACCAAGAAGATTGGATACACCTGGGGACAGTTGGAGAGACTAACCCAGTACAGAGATACCCGGAAAGCTGTTGTCAGCGGCCTATGCCCCAGGAGAGGCGACAGACAAACAAACAAATCCGCTCCATGTGGATGTCACAAATGGATCCCCCCCCCCCACCTTCTATACAAATCTTAACAAACGTAGCGGCTTAAAGAATGTTTCACCACATTTAACGTGTTAATTCCACAATAAAAATTGATTTTCTTTTTAAAAAGTGGACCCTCTGATCCGATATGTAAACAAAAACCAGCGAACTCTGTGTAGGCTACCTCTCAAACAGTAGATCTAAATGTCGGCTCTTTAAGTTGCGTGTCAACATAATAATCTTTTATTTCATGTTTGAAATCGAATTGTGCGATGAACGATTGGAGCTTAGCATAAGCTCTTAGCATAAGCTCCGAGAACTTAAGCCTAAGCTTAAATTGTACCGTACATTTTCACGCACATTTAGACGCACATAAGCACACACACTCACCTTTATCGCGCGCTCTTAAATATGTTGCCTAATCAAGAACATGACTCGATTAGTAAAATGCTGTAAAGTAAATCCGTTTACAAAAACATTTTATTGACGTGACATTGATTCGTGTTTGTTGACAAGTCTCCGGGCGACGGTGTTTAAAAAACCTGAGGCATTAATTCCAGGCCACCTAACAAATCCAGCTTGCTTCTCAGCTGTTACATGATTAGCTTAATCCTCAAGTCTGATACAATTTTAAATTTTCTTACCGTCAGTCAAGTGTTGCATACCGACGTGGTAGACTCCCAGCTGAAAACATGGACGTTATCGTGTAGCGCCTTCTAGGATCTGTGATCAAAATACAGCTAGATATTCACATTTCACATCGTCATTTTACACTTAGACATTCGCACTTTTAGTGAAGTTCTGAATAGGATCTTGCTAAATAAAATTTTCAAGATCATTCGAAAATTTAGAAATGAAGTTTTGAAAAGGATCTTGCTAGATACAATTTTCAAGGTAAAGTTAGAAATTCGTAGCTTAGGAAGTGTTAAGTCTCAGTCTACTATCTGATTAAAGTTAGAAATTTGTAAATTTCTAATCAAAATGTTAACAATGCCAAGAAATATATTTTGTAAAGTTTGGGTTTTGAGCGTTCTTTCATTATCGGTGACTCTGGTATTCATAGCAAGACAGTTCCGGATAGTAGATTTTAAATCTAAAAGTGACTTCCTCTACTCTATACATCAGCAGCGGTTTGCCTATAAACTTCACAACCGTACATACTACACTCTAGCACCGAGACCCGCTACTGAGTTGTGCATTAAAGACTTAAAAGATAACCGGATGCGACTTCAACGGGATATTTTTAACTATGATGCCAGCAATCTTCTAAGAAAACCCGGAAACGGAAGTGATGCTACGTTCCTCCCTGGGGACCTGCCCAACACCGTCCACTACACGTGGTGTGGGGAGAAGATGTTTACATTCGAGGACTACCTAGGTGTGTTGAGCATCGTGCGGGTGATCAAACCGGTGAAGCTGGTGTTCCACTACAACAAACTGCCAGTGATGAAGCTCTACTACCACACCTGGTTCACAGAGCTCCAGCAGTCGCTGCTCTACCTGGTGCTGAGGCAGACAGACCGTGAGCTCACCTGCAATACCACGGCACCGTTAGACTACGGGCTGGAACTACTTGCATCAAGCGTCGGCGGAGGGATTTATTTCGGTGAGAGGGCTGTTCTGACCCACATCCCCGAGCAGTGGTTTAACGAAGAACACACCACGTATATTACACCAACATCAAGCGGAAGTAAACATGTTATTATATATTCTAGATACGGCCATGTTGAAAAAAACTCCAGTCTTTCAGAATTTAAGTCTAAAATACTTAACAACTCGTATGAATGTATTTCGCCTGGTGAATACAATGAAGCTGTAGTTAAATACAACGAGGGGGCTTACAAGGGCGTCCCTCCCTGCCTGGCCCTGCCTACGCCCCTGTATCCTGAACACTTCATCAACAACACAACACCGTATGGGAGGCTGGGACGAGTGTTGTATTATGGGAAGCCTGACATACTTACAGCCAAACAGGGAGAGGTATGTCTTCATGTGGTGGTTGAGTTTGTTAAAAGTAAGCAACTTGATTTTGTGCAACACTGCGACGCTACTCGAAAAATATAATTTACTTGATAGCTTTTTTATAAAACCCTAAACGCAGAAATGGCTATGGTTACTTTGCGTTTAGCTTTTAGCTCATATTTAAATGTCAGTAGAAAATTTATGAAATTCAAATGAATCCCTACGATAATAATTTGTTTGAGCGAATTGATGTGTCATAGTCATATATTGCGAAGTTGTTATACTGAGTTCCGTCCACACCTGATGGGTAGGCTACCTGACTCACATTTAGGAAAGAAAAAGGTGACCGGACTACATTTTTCCTTCAGATGCCGCGGTCACAAAAACAGGTGAACTCTATTTCACCTACCACTAATAGCCAGTCCAGAATGGGTTACTGTATTTTTTTATATACCAAAATTAATTAATAAACATATATTTGTATGTTAAAATATATTATATCAGAGATCAATGTCTGTTTTTATAATGACCTATTGGTGTATTGATAGTCTTTTTTAAAAATACGCTATCAAAACACGTCATCAAAACATGTCATCAAAACATGTCATCAAAACATGTCATCAAAACATGTCATCAAAACATGTCATCAAAACATGCCATAAAAAACGTGAATAGATTTGTTAGAAATTAGGAACTGGTCTCACCACAAATAAACTGAGATATGTTTCTATATATTTCTGATAGGATCTTGCACCAGCCATAAGTCACATTATTTCACTGACCACCCACGATGCTGTCAACTGGACATTCCCTAACTACTTAAGCATCCTGTCGGCCTTGTATGTTGGAGGTTTTGAAAGGTGAGTCCACAGATACTTTTTGTAAAATGAAAGGTTTTTTTTTTTTAACTCGTAATTTCAAAAATACAACTGGATCCATTAAATAATTTGTTGATTAATAGAGATACAATCAAGTTTTCTGTTCACTGTTTTAAAAAAAATGAGTTGAACAATCAGCTGATAAGGTAATAAAAAACCTGCAAAGGTTATCGCAGGAAATACCTGGGTTACTTAACACCCAGTCCATATATTTTACAACTGGTAGAAATATTAGAGACCAAAAAAATCAAATCCGATCAAAGTTATGTAATACGTAAACAACGTCAAAATCAATCTTTGAACAATAACTAGTAAACTTGAGAATCGATTAAATGAAATTTTAGCTAAAGCGTCATTAAACATGAGAGTCGATTAGTTAAGCCCTCATGTTAAAAGTTTTCTACTGTTTTTCCTAGGAAAATATTTTTTTTCCGAATTGTTTTCTTTTTTAATTGATTGAAAAAGTCATCAGATATTTCATCCATCTCTGATCATGGGGGGAAATGTTTTCACAATTTTGATTGTTGTCACTAAATGTTTTCACAATTTTGATTATGTTGTCACTAAATGTTTTCACAATTTTGATTATGTTGTCACCAGGGTATACGTACACGGTAATGTAGTGCCGCAAGGATTTTGGTGGAGAAAATTACAGACTGAAAACGTAACTTTTGTTTTTGTAAGTTTTTATTATTTTTTTAATGCTTTTCTTAATCCTGTTATAACGTTTTTCTTAAATCCTATACACAAAAGGGAAACTAATGTCTTGCAATTCACAAACAGAAAAAAACCCTCACTTTTTCTACAAAGGAAGGACAATATAAACTTGTAGTTGCCTAGTGTTAGTTCGTGTGTTATTAATACTGATCTTCTACGTAGAAAAACTGTTTGAATATACCTACACACAAATATGCTAATGACTGTTGCCTATCTGACGACACAAAAATATGCTAATGACTGTTGCCTATCTGACGACACACAAATATGCTAATGACGGTTGTCTATCTGACAGATTGAGAACATAGAGACAGTTTTCCAACAAAAAGTCAACGTATTGGCCCATCAATCGGATATTTTGAGGGCCATTATTTTGTACAAGTATGGCGGCGTTTATCAGGTGAGTACAAAGTAGCATTTACCGTTCATAGGGCAGGTGAGGTACTATATACCTGTTCTAGAGACTTCGACATGTTATTATAAAGGGATAGTGTGGTCAGGAGACGGAGTGGTCTAGCGGTAGAGAGCTGGACTGCTAACCCGTAAGTCTCGATTTCGGATCCGCGTTCAAGTCAGTGGACTGTCCCTGAGTCCACCCAAACTGATGGGTACCTAACTCACGTTAGTGTGGTCAGCACTATGCCGAAGCGCCTTAACTTTCCTAAACGTGTGTCAGGTACCCATCAGAGCTGGATGGGCTCACGGACGTCTTACAGACTTTGGCCCGGGATCCAAACTCGACTCATCAGTTATCACTTATTCAGAATAACTGGTGCAAAAATAAATAATGTCGCCTTGAGTTTATGGTTATTTCTATTGTGTTTTTATAAACATGTGTTAGTAATTTTAAACGGCTGTAAGATAAGGCATAATCTACAGCATAAACAATGTCGATTCACAAAAAAAGGCTAACGCAATTTGAAAATAACGAAATAAAGTGAAGTGTATAGAAGTTAAAGACTAAAAGACGACCCACTGCGTAGCATACGCCGCTATTTAGTGACGGGTGAAGACTTCCTGAAAGACACAGTTGTCCAAATGGGGTGGGTGGGTACACACTGTTGCGCATGTCTGGAGAGCGAGGGAGGGGGCGGGAGGAGGGTTAGAGACTCGGCGTGCGTGAGTGCTGTCCCGCATGGTTGGGCGACGTAGAAAATTATGTATATAGATTGTCTGTTTTTATGTTTCACTTTTTAATTCACTTTGGCCATAACATCACAATATTCCCCACTTCCACATCCCCCTTCCCTCTGCCTCTATGTGTTAACATTTGCAAGAATCCTCTAACGATAATTTCCTTGATTGAATCCACCCCAGGATAAAGACATATTCTGGGCCAACCCAATACCCGAGGACATCCGGCGCTACCCAACTGTCGGGTGTCACGACTGGCCAATCTACGAGGAGTGGCCGAGGAGTTTTAACTTCGGCGTGATGATGTCCAAATCTGGAGCTCCGTTTCTGAAGAAGTTCATGGACTCTTTCTGGTAACAATACGTCTACCCACTAACTCTTCTTTGGTACGGCGTGATTGAAAGGTAGAACATTTAGCTGACAGCCTGAAGATCTCGAGTTCGAAAATGTGGCTGTACGAGGTCCCTGAGTCCACCCAGCTCTGATAAGTACCTGACACGTTGGGGAAAGTACAGGCGGCTGGGCATAGTGCTGACCACACCTTCCATTCATAAGCTGAGGTCAAGAAACATGAACCCTACTTCATCTGTCCAATTGGTCGCTAGGTCTCAAGAGGAAAGTTTCAGTTCTTCTTAAGTTTGCAAATTATTTCTGGTAACAAGATCACTGTCAGGGAGTTGATATAAAATGATTCGATTCTTTCTATAAACAAGATAAGTTTATCTAAAATGTAATTGCATAATGATTCCAATGGACTGGTCTTTCTATCAACAAGATAAGTTTATCTAAAATAAAATTGCAACTCATTATGATTCTAGTGGACTGATCTTTCTATCACCAACATAAGTTTATCTAAAAGGAAATTGCAACTCATTATGATTCCAGTGGTCTAATTTCAGGGACGAGAGAGACAGCTCCTGGGAGTACAACGGTGTGATGATGCCGTACAAGGTCTACGAGCGGGACCCTGAGACCTTCTACATCTACAAGAAGCTGCAGGTCATTCCTGTCTCTCTCTAGACGTGTTCTCCATAATATGACTTACGACAACAGACAGTCTGATATAAGAATTACGACAACAGACATTCTGATATAAGACTTACGACAAAAGACAGTGATATAAGACTTAAACAGTCTGATATAAGACTTACAACAAGAGACAGTCTGATATAAGACTTACGACAACAGACAGTGATATAAAACTTAAACAGTCTGATATAAGACTTACGACAACAGACAGTGACATAAAACTTCAACAGTCTGACTGCGACAGAAACTTACTGTTAAATAAAGGGCTAACTTATGACAACGAACATTCACCCAACACTAACATTGACGTGGTATTTTCGCATCCATGCCAACCCTGGTGTATAAATATGAATTGTGAATATTGTAGCCTCGAAAATGTTTTTTTTTTTTATTATGGACAAGATTGATTTAAAAAAAAAAGAAAATGGAATTATGTTTTAAGCAAAATGAACAACATGGAATTTATTTTGTGGGTAAACCACACAAAAGATGTCTAGTTTAAATATGATGAAGTCTATAATTGTTAATTTCAACATGCGGAATCCCTGCAAGTTTTCACCTTCTCATAGATTGCTCTCCCTTTTCTTACATTGTGCGGCAGAATATTGCTGTAGTTTCATTCCTCACTACTCCTATACTGTCCTGCTGAATAAATGTTTACCATCTCACAACTACTCCACGTTATATGGTACCACTTATTGTCTGTTCCTCTCTCTTCTCACTGTTGTATTGAAATATATTTTGGCCACAGATCATCTGCTACTGGCTACTACGTTATATGGTACAACTTATTGTTTGTTCTTCTCTCTTCTCACCGTGTATTGAAATATATTTTGGCCACAGATCATCTGCTACTGGCTACTACGTTATATGGTACAACTTATTGTTTGTTCTTCTCTCTTCTCACCGTTGTATTGAAACATTTTCTGGCCACAGATCATCTGCTACTACGTTAAATGGTACAACTTATTGTTTGTTCTTCTCTCTTCTCACCGTGTATTGAAATATATTTTGGCCACAGATCATCTGCTACTGGCTACTACGTTATATGGTACAACTTATTGTTTGTTCTTCTCTCTTCTCACCGTGTATTGAAATATATTTTGGCCACAGATCATCTGCTACTGGCTACTACGTTATATGGTACAACTTATTGTTTGTTCTTCTCTCTTCTCACCGTGTATTGAAATATATTTTGGCCACAGATCATCTGCTACTGGCTACTACATTATATGGTACAACTTATTGTTTGTTCTTCTCTCTTCTCACCGTGTATTGAAATATATTTTGGCCACAGATCATCTGCTACTGGCTACTACGTTATATGGTACAACTTATTGTTTGTTCTTCTCTCTTCTCACCGTGTATTGAAATATATTTTGGCCACAGATCATCTGCTACTACGTTAAATGGTACAACTTATTGTCTGTTCCCCCCTCTCTCTCTCTATCTCTCTCTCTCTCTCTCTCTCTCTCTTCTCACCGTTGTATTAAAACATATTTTGACCACAGATTATCTGCTACTACGTTATATGGTACAACTTATTGTCTGTTCCTCCCTCTCTCTCTCTCTCTCTCTCTCTCTCTCTCTCTCTCTCTCTCTCTCTCTTCTCTCCGTTGTATTAAAACATATTTTGACCACAGATCATCTGCTACTACGTTATATGGTACAACTTATTGTCTGTTCCTCTCTCTCTCTCTCTCTCTCTCTCTCTCTCTCTTCTCACCGTTGTATTGAAATCTATTTTGACCACAGATTATCTGCTACTACGGCGACTGTCACCCAATCTGGCAAGACAACTACCTACGAACGTACGCTGACCACAAGAAATCGCTGATGAACTTCACCATAGACGAGCCTTCTGGTAAGACTCGAACTTCTTTTTCCTGCCATTGGCTGTGTTGTAGTGAGTCCAGATCTGGGACTAAAGTTTCATGTCCTCTCAACATTAAGTGGGGCTCGGGGGGGGGGGGGGGGTTCAGAACTTCAGTTATTGCGTGTTTTAATTTAAACGAGCCGACCCGTAGCGTATCATACGCCGCTATTTAGTTGTTTTATTTTCTACTTTTCAGTAATTCATAATTTGTGAATTCGACAGTACCAATGTACCAATGCTGCCACTGAAAATATTTGCTTTAAAACACTACCCCCCCCCCCCCTTTCCCCTAACCCCAACCCTACACCCCCCCCCCCCCCCCCCGTGAAAGCAGCCTCCTCTTAGTTATTTCTTAGTTACCTCCTGTAAGTTTAATATTGAACTAAATTATCTGCCCCTAATAGAAACCCGACTCTACGGCTCTACGATTTGTAAACATTTAGGTTTGTAAACATTTAGCGTGACCACAACTCACCAGACAATGTGGGGGTGGGGTGGGGGTGGTAGTGATAGTGATAGAGAGAAAGAGAGGGGACTGCAAGGAGGCGCTTGCAGCTTGTTTTCCAACGGCTCCCAGAAGAGAATTATATATATAGATTATGTGTTTTGATACATAATGTTTTGCCCATAAAATAAGGGTTTCTTTTAGACATTTAACCCCGGGATGGCGGGCACATGAAACTTCCATGAACAGTGTTTCTTCCAGACTTTTTTCTCCGGGAGGGGGCACTTGAAATTTTCGGGGGGGGGGGGCGGTAGACTTTCTTCGGGGGGGGGGGGGGGGGCGGACACTGTTAAAAGTATATATTTTGTATATAAATTATATAAATTTCATTTCGTTCGGGGGGGGGGGGCTTTGCCCCCCCCCCCCCCTTAGAGATGCCTGGAAGAAACTCTGTCCATGAGTGGGCGTGGGGAAGGGGGTCGGATAATGGTTTAGGTATATTTTTCTATTTAAATTTAAATGTTACTATTTTGTTGGAGGTCGGGGTGGGTGGCGGCGGTGGGTGTGTTCCTAGCCTGATACACTGCTGAAAGTTCAGTGTTGTATTGGAAGGATCTTGTGAAGGCTATAGACAATGGTGCTCTCAGACTTTTTCTCCGGTGGTGGGGGTGGAGAGAAGGCACTTGAAAAGTTCGAAGAGCTGTCTGAAAGAAACAATGTGCATAGAAGTTTACCTTCACCCCTTTACTTCCCCCAAAACAAAAAACTTTTACTGAAAGGCTATATCTACAACCCCTAAATCAAACAAATGCTGCCGTGTAGTTTTTTCTTGGTTGGACAAAGACCATGGAAGCAAATTCAAAAAGAAAAGCAGGCTAAAATCGGTGTCAATGGCCTCAATGGCGATTAACCAGTTGACACGTAATCCTTAATTGTGTTGGAGGAATCCCTTCCAACACTGAAATCAGTAACGAAGAAGAAGTAGAAAGTATAATTGATATCTAATTAGGTCTGATGAAATAACATTGTAACGATATTAACACGCATACTTTTGTTTTATTCATCAGCTTTTCATTTTACGGCACCCAAGCCGGCGCCATCTTTGTTGTCGTTCTCTGCTATACGAGCCAATACGGACATGGCGGCAAAAGTAGGTCAGAGGATCATCGCGAACATTGAGAAGTCCGGACGATCATATCTGCTGCAAGATGAGATTTGAAATAAACAAAAAGATCTTAAAAATAAATGAGTTAAATTTAATACGTCAAACTTTAAATGATAAAAGTTTGATATATGTTATAACTGCTGAGTTGTATATGTGTACCACAGTTATGCAGTGAGAGGGTACAACTACCTGATCCAATACCATCTTTCCATATCACCACCATTTGATTATGTTTAGCTATGCTACAGTATATCTTGGGACACGAAGACATCAACGCTACGAATGATTTAACAGAATGACATCGGTTACTAACTCTATTTATTGCACAATAAATAATGGGCATCGGACAGCTTGGACAAACGATACTACAACTAGACAACCTAACTCTAACATCACACGGACAAGACTAACTTCAATCTTCTTCTCCGGCAACAACGAACTCACACTAAAACGTCACTTTCTTGCGTACCGCGTCACACACTCACTCGTTCAATAGACGGCCGCACCATCAATCATGCGCACCCATTGCCCTAGTCAAACATGCATCATAACATTACCCCCCTCTCCCTTTAAGCTAATCACATTAGCTTTATTTATTACTTCAATAATACAACATTCTGTTTTACCTAACAATGGCAACTATGGTAGCATTCACACATAGACCTTAAAGACTAGACAATTTTAACTAATTCTTGAAGTTCCAGTTCAGTTCATGTCTCCGCGCGCACAAACATATTTTGACGATTCTGCAAAGTATACATCTCAGATCACCAGTTGGGTACACATCCTACAATCACACTTCACGTAAAGGCCAGGATTCCATACAATGTCGACCCAAACATCACCTTAGTTGTACTGAAAAGAAATTATTTCTAACGGAAAACAACATGTCACTACTACTCGGTTATCATTATCTAACATAGTCTCTCTAACCTAATGTATTAGACTTAATCTAATGTAGTACCTCTTCTGTTAATTACGCTATATTATTTATACAACAAATCACATTTCACGTGTTAATTTAGTGCTAAGTAATTAAGTAGCCACATCAAATTTCATAAATCACTTTATCACCTGCATATATTCATCTCCTGTTACAATGACATGTACCAATAATAATTCTTAACATCTTCAGTAACCAAATACGATATCACATAGAGGAATATTTTCCCTAGAACCCTTAAATCCATGTCCAGGTACTCGGTACATCCTCGAGCTACCCACAAAAAAAAATCTGACTGCATCCTCAGTCTTGAAATCAACTAACTACCGATGAAGCAACCGACCAACGAACTATACCCCTGCTGGCCGGGTGACGACACCAAATTATCTTAAACAACATTATCCTAATCTACTGGGTTCCTTACGCTAAGAAAACAAACCTCATAGGATAACATATCATCACATATAATACATTGAAGATCATCTCATTATGACTAATATAACAAATCAAATCCAGATCATAGTGACATTCTCATCTTGTCAACAACATAACACCGCCCTCAAACCGGCGTGTCTATATTAACTATAACAATATCAATTATCACTAATACTGATCTCTTACTTATCATACAACAACCCTCATTAGCATAACACAGCAATGGGCTCACAATACCTACAGCCCCTGCTTAATCACTATATTTGTTTTTCACTAAGACGTAATAGAAAAAAAAATGTACATGCCTACTACTTAAAAAATATATGAAGAGGTACTACTTATCTAATTTGTAGAACTTGGGCATCATCGTCGGCTTCATCACACAACACACACTTCCCACACAGATCCCCTTGTCCTTCACAACACAGGTCCTCTCAGCACGGTCTTCACGTCAGGGTCCTCACAGCACGGTCATCAAATGTTCTCCCCACACGGTTCTTCGTGGCACGGGTCCTCACAGCACGGTCTTCACGTCAGGGTCCTCACAGCACGGTCATCACATGTTCTCCCCACACGGTTCTTCATGGCACGGGTCCTCACAGCACGGTTCTTCGTGGCATGGGTCCTCCCCACACGGTTCTTCACACACGGGTCATAACGGCATGGGTCATCAGAGTACGGGTCTTCACACACGAGTCTTCTTAGCACGGGTCTTCACACACGAGTCTTCTTAGCATGGGTCTTCACACACGATTTTCACAATAATAGTCCATATATCACAGAGACATAGTCCGTACGAAAATTATATCGATGAAACTTGACTGATTAGACAGTGATAGCGTTTTCTGACTAAATTCTAGATGTTATTTCCGCCGACTAGCTTCTAAGTGATTTTAAGTTACTTCGCCTTGTAATACTACTTCATGCTGTTATACTGCTTCACGTTGTTATGCTGCTTCATGTTACTATAGCTGATTCACGTTAATACTGCTCCACCATGTTATAACTGCTGAGTTGTATATGTGTACCACAGTTATGCAGTGAGAGGGTACAACTACCTGATCCAATACCATCTTTCCATATCACCACCATTTGATTATGTTTAGCTATGCTACAGTATATCTTGGGACACGAAGACATCAACGCTACGAATGATTTAACAGAATGACATCGGTTACTAACTCTATTTATTGCACAATAAATAATGGGCATCGGACAGCTTGGACAAACGATACTACAACTAGACAACCTAACTCTAACATAACACGGACAAGACTAACTTCAATCTTCTTCCCTGGCAACAACGAACTCACACTAAAACGTCACTTTCTTGCGTACCGCGTCACACACTCACTCGTTCAATAGACGGCCGCACCATCAATCATGCGCACCCATTGCCCTAGTCAAACATGCATCATAACAATATATATATATATATATATATATATATATATATATATATATATATATATATATATATATATATATATATAATACAACGTGCTAAATACATTGTCTATTCCATCTCTTTCATTTAATGTGATAAACGGTTAGGTATCTGATACTTCTGTAATATATCTTCTGATACTCTATCTGCTATCTGCTGAAAATGAGAACCATCTGCACGCAGTGCTGATCAAATACCTGCAGACAGTGAAGCTTTACAAATCAATCAGATAAACTCTACTTCTTCTCACGTGAGCCACACTACATTTGTCATCCACAGAGCCACATAACTTTTTATTTTCGGAGTCAGGGACTTTTTGTCAGTGGAGTCAGGGAATTTTTCGACCACCTTAGCAAGACTACCATCGGCAGATAACCCATGTACCACAAATGCGGCAAGACAACAAAAAATTAAGAAATATTTCGTGAAAATCACATTTGTTACGGCTACCCACTTACCACTAGACGCTACACAATAACTAGATCTAGATGTGGAAAGTTTAAGTCACAAGAATTCGTCAATGTAATTAAATATGTTACAATAGCATTGATTACATTTGCCAAGAAACTTATACGGCAAAGATATTGATTCTTTAATCAACGGTAAGCTGTTGAAGAATTTACGCTGTACAATTTGTTGGGATTATCGTTAAATTTAATTTACCCTGTACGATATGTCGGGATTATCGTTAAATTTAATTTACCCAATGTCGGGATTATCGGGAGAGGTTGACACGGGCTAGTGATTTTAGACTTTCGTGTGACGATATGCACTAAAATTTCGCTCAATAACTTAGTTGAGACTGTCTACATTTCAAAGGAACTTATTTTCGTTTGTTTTTTATTTTGTAATATAAAAGGCGAATAGTTAAAAAAATAATTGTTTAAATGTCCAGATGTCCAGTTCAATAGGAGGGTGAATAGTAAATAAAGTTTCCAGTCATAAAAGGAGGGGAAGGGTAATAATTAAAGTGTCCAGTTAAATGGGGGGGGGGGGCTGGATACTAATTAAAGTGTCAAGTCAAATAGAGGGGTGAATAGTAATTAAAATCTCCAGTTGAATAGGGGGTGAATGCTAATTAAAGTGTCCAGTTAAATTGGGGGGGGGGGGTATTGTAATTAAAATGTGCAGTCAAATGTATTCTTCGTCCGCTACGGCCTCGACTGTTTCTCTAAACTGACTGGACTTGGGTTGAATCCTAGCGAACGTCACACGAACATTCTGATCATCAAGTCCGAACCTTCTCGAAAAACTGCTAATCAGGATATCTAAGGGTCAGTATGGTAACTGCTAAAAGTAAATATTTCTCAGTGACAGAAATGTTTATTATATTTGCTCCTTCAAAATATATTAAAACGTATATATTTATTTATAATTTTCATTAATCCGCTTAATAATGTATCAAATGCCCAAATGATATAAATTGTTTAGCATTTATATGATTTGGTGTGTTACTTCCCATTTAAAAACACAACCTATAAAAAGACAACCTATAACTTTATTACAAAAAAGACAAAGTATTATAGAGAGAATTAAATAAATTAAATACGTTACTGTTTATTACTATATACAGGGATACTAGAGTTCTTATACGATATTTTGCTTTTTTTAGAATATTTTATGGATATTAAAAATAACCATCCGATTCTAGCTTAAACTAAAACTATTAGAGGTATTAAGTTCTTTATTTTTTGACAGCGGAAAATTTTATTTTGACACTACTATGCAGCTTGTGACTTTTCAAACTTTGTGTTATGTCTTTGAAACTGCTACAATGTGAACTTTTGACTCCGCAGCACAGTAAACTAAGCAGTCAAGAGAAACCTAGTTTGCACACCTTATTTTAGTCTAGTTCTTATGCCATTTTATTTTCTCCCTTTAATTATTATATAAGCAATTGATGTTCATTGTTCATGTCTTTGATGCTGTGTAAAATCTATCAAATATATTATTATTACTGATTTAAATGTTTAAATCAATTGAATTAATAAAAAAAAAATACTGTTTGAGGACTGTATAGATACAGATGTTTGAAAGGGAAGAATGTTTGCTTTGATGTGTCTCATTGTACCAACATAACTTTTCCGATTGCTTAAAATTTGTATCATTTAAATTCTCGGTAATCCCAATTTTTTCTTCAGCTCTACTTAAATACCCAAATTCCAACCCCCCCCCCCCCCCCCCCCCCGTCCCCTCAGTCCACCACGCCGAGTAAAAAAAAACCCATTGAATCATCATTTAATTACACATTTGCATTTTCAGTTTCAGGTTGGTTTTTCTTTTTTAA